CATCCTCTTCCTCTCCCTCCTCAGGTCGCCTTGCCACCGGGGCTTCCCCACGTCTACCAAGAGTCAGATCTACCTCACTGAGAAGAACCTGGCATAGGCCTGGCTCCAACCCACAGCTGCAGCCTGCCCGCCCCACCCTGCACAGATCCGGGGGCACATGCCCCCATCCCCATGCCCTCCCTGGGTGCACGCAGAAGTGGGAGCTGTCCCCCTGACAAGCCGCAACTTTGTCCTACACCTGCCCCTACCCCCTCCCTCCCCAACCTCAGGGGGCATTGATCTGCCCCCCCATACCCCTTCCTTCCCCTTCCACCACAACAGGCTTACTACCTGCACGCTGCTGGGCTCTGCTCCTCTATGTCTGCATGCTGTGCTGCAGCTGTGTGCATGCATGGACATTTATCAGACAAATTATCGGCCACTTCATGCTGATTTGTGATATAGTACTAATCCGATAGTGGACCAATGTATCAGTACAACTCTAATTATTTTCTGTCCATTGTTGGTTCTGTAAATCCCATAAAGTGAAAGAATATGACTATAAAACCATAATATTTTTGTATTATAATACAATTCCTGAAAAATCTGTTTGGATTTGTTATATAATTTTTTCAGAGTTTCAACTTAAAAAAAAATAGTCTTTAAAAAAAAAAAAGTCAAATATTTCTTTGCAGGTGCATAGTGTAAAATGATAAACTAAATTGGCAAATATACAATTTAAAAAACACAAAGTCCAGATTAAATAAATATAGTGCAGAAAATAGAGAAAGAGATTATTAAGAATAATTAAAAAACCCTTGGATAAACCATATTTTTAATATTAAAGGCGAGGGGGCCCAGACTTTCTTTCAAATGTATCTTTCTTCTGACCTTAGAATATCTACATTATTCAAGCTGAAAATGATGACCTTGACAAAATTAAAGTTTACCACATAGTTTTGTAATCCCACAACAATAAAACTAAAAACCTGCATTTCTTGGTGACTTTTAAGTGAGCTTTAAATGGTCCTTTCCTATTTTGTTCCATTCCTGACATCAGGCAAAAGTTTCTTGACTGCTACCTCTTCTCATAAAGATGTCATGAAATGAATGAAAGTGAAACAAATAAATTGATGTGTCTAATAAAATGAATAATTATATCTTCAGAGCAAGATTTGAATACTGTGAAGTAAATAAAGTCATGTTGCCATATGCTGAACAATAAAGATAAAGCAAAATATTGGAACAATATCACTGAGTGAACAGTTTTCATCCTGTGCATTGAATACAGTAAGGCTTCTGTGACTTCATTAGATCCATCTCTCCTCACCTAATATTTCCTACTCTCTGGTTCCCAATTGCATTGAAGTTTTCCCTTCCTAGCTCCTTGTCTAATATCTGTTGGTTCTAACATCTCCCTTTTTAGTCACGGAGACTGACACAATTTCTCTTCACCTTCTTTCAGTCCCAGTCACTAGAGACATTTCCAGTTCCAGTTCTCCTTCCACAGTCACCTTTTGGTTCCAATCTTTTCCCAGGTTCTTTATCACAATAGCAACCTTAACACCCATAGTCTGGCTCTTGTCCACTCTACATTCAATTCAAGAAGTAGTGCAACCAGGCGTGGGTGAGAGGGGCACTCATCCCAGTGGTCAAGTTACGAGAGGTGCCAGAATCACCCCTCACCCCTGTGAAGTATGCACTCTGATAGCACACCAGTGCAAGGAGCTCCTAAACAGTCCCTGGTTGCTGCTGCTTTAAGAGCAACAGCTGGGCCAGGAAAAGCACATAGCAGTGGCAGCAGTAACTCAGCTGTGGATTAGTATAGTAAGGAGCTCCCAAGTTCCCAGCATGGGTAAGACAGTTCCCCTCCATCCCTGCTCTCAGAAACACATGCCCCCATCCTCAGTTCTTGGAAATGCACTTCTCCATTCTTGAAACACACCCCATTTCCACTCTTTTGTAGGGTTTCCACTCCCAGACACCAACTCTGCTTGTTACACTTTTTAGTCTAGAGACCAGTCTTCCCTATGCTGCCTGAGACCAAACGATGAGCACTGAGAGCATAAAGACAATCTTTATGGTTGTAGTTGTAGCACCTAGACTAAGCATGTCATGACCCACTGATGTGATTTCTAATGGTAGAGTTTGTTCAATGTGGACAGAATCTCCAGAGATTTTAGATTGCGTAGGTTTGGGAGAGGAGGGGTGATCCTTTAGATTTTAGTTACGGCAGAGCAAGTCTCTCTGGAGGACATACAAACTGCATTTTCCATGGTTTTATATTCCAAGGGCCCAATTTGGAAAGATTTTTGCAAAAAAGAGCAAAAAGCACCTTCTCTATGCAATGTAACCACCGTCAAATGTCAAATCCTGCTCCAAGGACAAGGTGCTAGAACTCCTAAAATAACAGTTCTTTAGATTTCTTTACCATGCACAAAACATTTTCCTTTAACCTCACTTTCAGGAATACATGAATCTCCTGGTCTGAGGAGAAAAAAAAAATCCCCCCTTCCCCTCCCCCCCACCCCCAAGACAGATATCAACAATATAGGATTTTATCCCAAGAGGTTACACTTTGGTAAAGTTATACACAGCTGAATGAAGTGTCATATATAATGGGAAGTGTCAGGTGACCTCAACCTGCAATGCTCCCAGCCTCGACTATAATATTATCTGTGATAGTTTAGTAAGTTCTCTCAGGTGGCTGTACTAGGAATACCTTGAATTAATGTAATGAGACTCACCGTTAAAGTGACTATCATTTTCATAGCATATACTCATACCAATTGATATTTAAGTAGCGATAACTAAAATTTTAAGAGCTGTCCCATGAAATGTAAGTCAAGGCTCTTTGGGGCTGGGAAATATATCTATTTTGGTAGGATGCACAGTTTCTAGATCTTCAGCCCCTTTGAAATTTCTTTGCATCGCTCTAGTTTTGAAAATGGCATTTAGAGCTGACTTAAGTTAGTAGTTAAGGACTTCCCTGGCAAAGTGGAATTATAAGAGCATAAGAATTAAGGTCATTGCTGCTTTTCCAGTCTTGCCTGTCTTCTAGGGAGGGCTGGAGTGTGGAGGGAACATATTAGGAGCAAAATGAAACCACAGAGCATGTCCCCATGTGTAGGGGCATGCAGATGCTTCAGTGAAAAGTTGCAGTGGCAGAAATTTGTGCCACTGTTTTTGCCACTGTACAGGACAAATTGACCCAGATGGGGTACCTGAGGTTCTGGGGGCATCCCCGTGCAGCAACAGCAGTGATCTGGCTCCTCGGTTTCTGGTGGCACACGTTGCTGCCATGTGTGCCACACCACTTTTTTTAGTGGCAGGGTTTTTGGGTGT